GCTCCAGCTCTACACACTGTTTCAGACAACGAATGGCTCAGTGTGATGTCATAGAGAGGTGATGTCTCTATATGTTCATCTCAGACAATAGAAGCTGAACACACCTGCTGCTTAATGTTTGTGCCAATCAGAGTTGGGTTAAGGGGACCAATCAGACTCCACTTTCCACTGTACAGAAAGTGGCTGTAGTTGAATTGCAGGCACAGCAGGGGATTAGAGAAGAAGTGAACAGAGGTAAACGGTGGAGCTAACTAACAAGTAGTCATCTGTTTTATCAGACGGCATCAGTAACGTGTTGAAAATGAAATGAAGCCTCAGCTGTGTCCTTAGAAACCGTGCTCGCTATGTTTAGGCCTCCATGTCCAAACTGTCGCTCGATGTTGGAAGCAGAAGTCCATCAGTACGTGTGAGCTGCTCCTACAAACGCTCTGCTCACCTCACAGACAGGATCTTTTAAAAGACGATGGATTGTGTCCATGGTCTGAACAATAACATGTTAAAAATGACCAGAATAAAACATTTGAGCAGCATGAGACCTCGTCAGTCAGATCCACCCAGGAAGTCTCTGTCCCAGTATGAGGTAAATGGGATTGTTTTAAACTGAAAGTGTGTTTGCCAGAAAGCACAAACGCACACCGGTCCATGCTTTAGACTGCTTCTGTGTGTCGTCCTGCAGGGGAGCTGCTGGTCTGTGACGCCATGAGGAGATTTGCTGAGCTGACTGATCAGGCCAGGTCAGTTTACAGTCTGTTACTAGGCTGTAGATTGTATGGTTAGCCTGTTAGCTGTAACTGAGCAAATGTGTCCAATCATCTTAATATTTGAATGTTTTCAGTCTGTGCAGACTGTCCTTACAAACGTTTGTGAACGAGCGCACTGTTCACTGATGTGCTGCTATAACACAGCCGTCAGTTTGACAGCATTCTGCTACATCAGACATGCTAGTGTTAGCTAACAGTCCATGAATGGACTGATTGAGTTTGATCATAAAAGTCAAGCTACTCCTGGAGTCCAAGAATAAACATGGAAGTACAAATACTCACTTTCAGTAATACAGACACAACTGTAAATGGCTGCATGAGTTCACTGTTGAATTGTCTGAGAGTGCTACAGTTGTAGACAGGGCCGTGCAGAGACGTTAGAAGGGGTGGGTGCTCAAGCCCCGCCCCCCACATGTGCCTGGTTGTGGATATGTTGGCTGTCTGAGCCACATAACGGAGAGGTTGAAATGCCACCAGAACCCTGTGAGCTGTTTACAGGTTTGATCACACAGACTGGTTTTCAAAGCTCATCCAATGCTCTGCTTCTTCTCTGCAGGATTGCTTTGACAAAGCAGAACTTCACCCTGAAGTACGACACCAACATTCCCCGACAAGTGGTAAGGATCCCTTCAGATACTTGTCAGAGTGTGTTTGCATCTAATTCAGTCTAATGATGATGTCATATATTTGTGTTTGTGTGAAGGGCCTT